CCTAGGAGCTGGGCAAGACACTGAGTATTTTTCTAACAAGTTTGTTTCTTAGAATGATTTTTCCAAGAGAGTGAAGCTCATTGATGAAAGAGGTGAACCGAGTATGCATGTCTTGGATGGATTTATCATCTTTCATCCTGAAAAGCTTATATTCAATTGTAAGCACGTCAATCTTTGATTGCTTGACTTGTGTTGTTCCTTCATGAACTGTCTGGAGCGCTTCCCATATTTCCTTAGTTGATTGGAATGCCAATATTCTGTTATATCATCAGGACCAATGTCACAAACAAGAATTTTATTTGCACGAAATCTATGGCTTTTCGATCAGCATCATTGATTTCCTTCTTGTCTTGGGATCAGTTACAGCTACAGTTGGGTCGCCAACAGTCTTGGTAGGAACGAAGGGTCCATCACAGATGACATCCCAAAGCTCGGAATCTTCAGCCATGATAAAGTCGTGCATCCTAGTCTTCTAACATCCATAATATTGGCCATTGAACCTTGGTGGCCTGTAGGTAGATTGACCTTCTTCAAAGTTTGGAGGAGCAGCCATGAGGATCCTTTTTAGGTGTTAGCCTGATAAAAATATCCCGCTCTGATACCAATTGATAGAATTTAAGGGTCCACCAAACTATATAGAGAACTAGTTCTCTATTAGTTCCCACAGAACACACACACACTGCAGTAAGTAAATGGCATAGAGGAATTTTACGTGGAAAATTCCCAGCTCACGGGATTAAAAACCACGGCCTACCCTTGTAGGATTTCAACTTCACTACTGAGCAAACTTTAGATTACAACATATTGTAACCTAGGAATTAACCTCTTAATCCTTCACTAACTTGTAACAACTCTATTACAAGCCACTCTATAATAACTCTATTACAAAGACTTTACAACTCGACTAACTCTAGCCAAGACACAAACACAAGGGTTTATGATTTACAAAGAGTTTCCTACGCAATGCTTCTAACTAAGATAAGTAGGAATTACAAAAAAAGAACTTCAACAAAGGTACAACACAACTAAGGACATATAATAACTCAATACTGGGAACTGGTCCATTGCTATATTGTTCTTTGTTCTTGATGCCCTAGAGAGTCACTTCAAGATTGATAGATGACTTGAGAGAATGCTTGATCAATTCTTGAATGTGCATTTCTTTTACCTTTGCTTGATGTTAATAGTTCATTTGCAAACATCACTTGAATGATGTAAGCAAGATAGGTAATGGGCATTCCCCATAAAGTTGACTGCTACACTGTTCTCACACTATTGCATGTGCAGGCAGCAACTTTACAGCTGAAGCAGTTGACTTGTCCAGTCAGCACATGAACTAGTACTTGTCTGTTCACTCCGTTGTTCCTTTGACTCTGAAGAGTTGAACCATATCCCCAATTGAAACCTTGTTGATCTTAAGGTCTTGAGAATGTGTAACAGGTTCCTTATCTGGTTCTTGACAGTAAGTTGTTAGATCATCAAAACATAACAAGGATGCATATATAACCTATCAAATCCACTATATGAAATCAAGTAGAAAATATCGAGAGAACAACCTCATAAAGAGGCACACACAAGTAGCAAACTAACACTTATCCCAAAAAAATTCTCCTCCTAAACAAGACTCTCAAACCCCTTTGACTATATTGTGAAAGCTACTAAATAAGAAGGAAGGATCCTTAATTATTATATTTTTGGTGAAATGAAAAAACTTATTCATCTCCAAACAAGTACATCAATTGGAATACAATGAAAGAAAAACTATAAATAAGCTAACTTTGGCTTCTATCTATATAAAGAGGTTGTACAGTTCCTGTGTATCTATCTATATATTCCTTCTATCCATCTTCTATCATTTCCCTTTATCCGCTTGTTGAGTATTCCTGCCATACGAATTTTACATTCTTCTTTGATTTGCTCACATACTTTATGTGGCTAGGCACTGAACTCTTCCATAAGGCTTCATTCCTCCCTTTGCACACATGGTAGTTAGTTGCTGCTAATGCTGCAAATGCAAATTCTCTGCTCATTTTGCCAACCATTTTCCTTGCTACTCTTTTCCACAACTGCTGCCCTTCCACATTTGTAACTTTGATCTTTAGCCACTCCAGTATTATAGTTATGCATCTTCTTGAGAACTGATATTCATAGAATAGATGCTCAAAAGTTTCTTTTTCATCTCCACATAAAACACATAAGCCATTTGTATTCATCCCTCTGCGACCCAGCCTATCCTTTGTAAGTAGTTTCTTCTGCATAGTCAGCCAGCATATGAAGCTATGTTTTGGCATATTTTGTTTTCTCCAGACCCATCTTCCCCATTGGCATTTGTCTAGAGACCCTCTCAGCCAGTCATATCCCTTTCGTATAGTATATTTCCCTGTATTTGACTGTCATCCCCTGTTTACATAGCCTTCTGCCAATTTGTCTCCAACGTGACAGATTTTCTTCCAATACCAGCTACTGTCATTTGCTACATTGTACTGCCACCAATCTATATTTTTGAGGTAGATATGGTTGATCCATTTAACCCATAGTGTATCAGGCTTATGAGTTATATCCCACACATACTTTCCTATTGCAGCCTCATTCCAGGCTACACAGTCTCTTATCCTAATTCCTCTTTGTTTTGGTCGGCATACAAGGTCCCATGCTACTAAAGGTACTCTATTTGTTTCCACCTTACCATCCCACAAATAGTTTCTACACATTCCTGTGATATTTTTAAGGGATGCTTTGGGCAGTATGAAAATTGAAGCCCAGTATGTATGGATGTGCATCAAAACTGCATCTATCATTTGCACTCGACCTGCATATGATAGATTCCTTGAACCCCAACTGTTTATTCTGATGGCCATCTTATTTACTAGTGCTTGACAATCCATTTTAGAGAGCTTCTTTGATGAAATTGGGACTCCTAAATATTTGAATGGAAGTCTGCCCTGGCTATACCCTGTTATTTCACATAGGTCTGCTATTTCCTGTGCTTCCATATTCACAGCAAAGATGTTCGACTTTCCTGCATTTTTAGTTAGTCCAGAAGAATTGGAGAATGCTTGTAATCCTCTCAACATTAGCATCACAGAATGAAACTCCCCTTTACAGAAAAGTAGTTCCGAAAAGCATAAGTGATTAAGCTGCAGACTTCTACACTTAGTATGAAACCTGAACCCCTCCTGCTGTGTCACAAGCCTCATAATACTTGAAAAGTATTCCATACATATTACAAATAGTAAAGGAGATATGGGGCCTCCTTGTCTCAAACCCCTTTTCCCTTTTATGTTCCCATAGAGTCTACTATTTATAGCCACTGTGTATTGAGGGGTTGATATGCACTCCATGATCCACCTGATGAATTTCATAGGAAAGTTTAGAGCATGTAACATTTCTTCCACAAACTACCACTCTATAGAATCTTAGGCCTTCTTGAGATCTATTTTAATCAAACAGCTTTTTGTTGCAGCTTTCCTTTTGTACAGTCTAACTAAGTCTTGACATACTAATATATTTTGCATAATTGTTCTCCCTGCTACAAAAGCACTCTGGTCTCTGATATTATGTCTGGTAGGATGAGCTTTAACCTGTTACACAACATTTTAGATATGACCTTGTACACTCTATTGCAACAAGCAATTGGTCTATAATCCCCAGCTGTCTCTGCATGATTGCTTTTAGGAATCACTGTTATTACTGTTCTATTGATTGTCTTTAGCAGCTTCCCTGATGAAAAAAACTCCAACACTGCCTCCTTAAGGTCTTTACCAGTTATATCCCAACTATCCTTAAAGAATTTACTCCCATACCAGTCTGGACCAGGAGCTTTTTCTCCATCTATTTGCCATAGTGCTTGTTTGACTTCCTTTTCTGTAAAGTCTTCTGTCAATAATTGTCTTTGTTCCTCTGTTACCATCTTGCCCTTCTTCACCAGTGTACTACAAACATGCTCTCTACTAGCTGTAGTAGATCCTTAATTTATAAAAGTTAAAAGAGTCTCGGGAAAAAAAAAAGACTAGCCAAATATGAAAGAATTATATATTCCTTTTCGTAAAAAAAAGAAATCAATTATGTTAAATATATTGTCCTTCTTTCAAGAAATAGAAAAATCAATTAATAGTAAAAAAAAATTAGGAAAAACACCTAATAGAAGCCCCAATAAACTTTCCCACCTTTGATTTTGTTTATATGATTTTGATTTGATAATTTTTAACGAAAGGAAATATATACAACGGGGAAAGGCACTTTTAAGTACTCTATTTCTATTTCTTTTTCTATACAAATCAAACCACCTCTTAGACCGAATGCATGGGTTAAATTTAAGTAGCTTTTAAGTATTAGGTGTTGAAAAACATCTTTTAAGTGCCGAAGCTAATTTTAAAAACAACTGTTGAAGCTGAAAAAAAGATTATGGAACGGTTTGGAGAAAATTACTAAGAAGCACTTTTTTCTGTTAATATTTTACTGCAAATGCAGCCAATGCGGGAAGCCATTCAAGCCTGAGAAACTTCACAGCCACATGAAATCCTGCAAAGGAATGAAAGCCTTGGCAAGAGGTAGAATTCCTATTACTGAGAAGACATCCAAAGATCCATTACAAGTGGACTCTGTTTCTTGACTCACTAATTTCTTCTTTTCAGTTTTTGGAGTTAGATTCTGCATTTCAACTAAGTTAGGGTACTTCAAAAGCTCTGCGTGTAAATTTGAATAAAAAGAATCATTGTGTTAAGCTCCAATTAACGGATGCAAATTGAAGTTTAAATGGTGATGTAGTGTTACTCAGAGAAAAAGTGAAGCTACTTTTTGCAGTAGTTGAAGTTGTAACTTTCCATTTTTTTCCCCACCTCCATGAAGCAACGGAGTTACACTGAAGTTGTAAATTTCTAAATGAATCTTTAGGAGTATTAATGTGCAAGGTAGGAACAGGGTCGTCTCAACAAGATTGGGGTCTAAAGCTATATTTCAGAGAGAGGCCCTAAGTAAGAATATCAAAGATAAATTTTCAATGAAAAAGTATAAAATAAAGGTAGAATAATAAAACCGGCTCAAGAATTTGATAAGTTGATATACAACAACAACATACTCAGTGGAAACTCACAAATTGGGGTCTGAGGAGGTAGAGTGTATGCAGACATTAAATCTACATTGGAAGGTAGATAGGTTATTTCCGGAAAACCCTCGGCTCAAGAGAGAAGCTAGCATGACAAAAAAAAAAAGGTCAGATAAGGACAATCAATTCAATGCAGTATGAAAATGAAAGTAACGAAAGCGAATAAGTCATGATAAAGCAGTCTAAAAAAGAGCAGTAGCTATCACAGATAAATAAGATAACCGAAGTACAAGAAAGAATAGATAGTAGCAAAAATCAAAGGGTAAGAAACTATAGAGCAAGATAAGTTGATATAATGATATCGAAAATTGTTGTATTGCTTCAATATTATTTGCTTGTTGTAATGCTTGATATTTTGAAGAAGACAACTTGTAGCTCGCAGTAAGTTACCGATTGAGAGACTTTTCAATATTGAAAATAAGAACAGTAAAAGAGAGAATGAAAGAGGTAAATATAAAATAATAATGTGGGCCCGTATTAGTTGTTAGGATATAAATGAGGCAAAAAAATAGCTACCCTAGCTATGTAAGGAAACAATTTATTAAAAATTATTCCATTCTCTAATTATTACAACGATCCTCACAATAAAGTTATTGTACTTTCGCTACAAAAATTCTTTTTAATTTAAGCGTACACACTTTTTTTTTAATAATACGTACACAATACGTCTTTGAGGAAAAAATGGGGTCCCCAAAAAGTTGGGGCCGCAAGCGATTGCTCTACCGGCCTTACGGTCGAGCCACCCGTGGGTAGAAATAAAAGACACTACTAGATCTAGAGTATAATTTGTTCCATGTACAGGTCCTAAGTTGAGTAATATATTAAGTATTTCAGATATTAATTTAAAGTGTGTTTATGTGATGTTTGTGTTTGCTTTAGCATGCCTAAGCCTTATTTGTGAGATGTGATAATTATGAAATGAGTTTAACTTGTAGAGTGTTGCTTACGATAGCCTCGTCAAGATGGTTCAGTTGGTAGAATCAAGCCCGTTGAATGACAGTTTCAGCTTTGGATTACGACAAATATTCATCAAAACATTCAAGCAAAACACAGACAGCAATACAACGTTGATGAATTTATCCATCATAAATCTGTGCTTGTCTTGTAATTATTCAGATGTATGAATAAGAGCGTAAATTGATGTAGAGAAGGTACACATACATATATATATATATATATGCTCTGTTGTGGTGAGCGGCTCTTTTTTACAAATAGAAAAGAGCTCAAGGAATATAAACTTGACCTAATAAAACTCAAGATGTAGGCTTATTATGGACCTGCATTTTCAATCTATAAGCTGCAGGCTTCTTTCTCTTGAGCTTAATCATATGACTTAAAACTTTGGTATAACGACTCACCATTTGCTTGAATTTCAATCCATTCATCAAACTTCCTTCTGGCTGTTTCACCACCAACTGAAGTTGCTTTTCTTCTTCTGTAAAATGGTGTCCTAAAGAAGTTCCTCTACCTTCAATCAGCTGCTTCAAACTCTTCTTCTCATCTAACTCTTCTTCCTCTTCATTACTAATTACATCTTCTCTGTTTTCTACTGAATTGATCAATTGTTGAGGGTGCTCGGGACTTTTGATAGCTTCTTCTTTGATATTCAATGGTGATTTTCTTGTTCTTTTTGACATACTAATATCATAGCGGAGTTTTCTTGGAAAACATTCACTTTCCATATTTTTTTTCTTCTTCTTCTTGGTTGTTTTACTATTTGTTTAAGGTACTTTTTCACAATCGGGTAATTAAATAATTCTAAAGTTTACTATTGAAGGGGGTTGCTTAAGGATCAGTTTTGGAGTCATTTTTAAAGGTAAAATGTCAGTTTTCTTGGCTAGTTTTGTCCTTAATATCTCCCCGAATGTGAACATTTGTTCTTTATGCAATGAAGAGAGGTTGGTAGTGATGTTTACCGATGCTATGTGTAGGTGATGGTTAAAATGGTAAAAGTTTATTTACCTTGAATGAGAGGTCCTAGGGGTGGAATTATTTCTTTAAGTAGAAGATCTAAAAATCCCTATTAGTCGTGATGGGACAAATAATTCAATATGGTATTAGATTAGTGATAGTAGACGATAATTATGCAATTTGGATACTATTTACACTCTAATTTGGCCGCACTTTATCAATGTTTGAATGTAAAAGATAACAAAATGCTCTAATTAAGAGTTTTAGATTTTACAGGAGCCACTCCGAGTTAGGAGAAAGTTAAAGAGTGTTTTGGAGTCAATATGGAGCGTGGAAGGCCAATCGGAGGATAGCTCGGTCAAAAAGGAGAAAGAAGATCCAAGTTCTAGCTCCGCGGTAAGATCCGCGGCCGCGGACAGAATAATTGTCAAATTCGCGGTCGATCCGCGGTCCAATCCACAGCCTCGGACGGGCTGACGGGAGCCAAGAACCCAGGGTTAATTATGTAATTTCTAGGGCGACTAACCTAAACCTATATGAAGCCTAATTCGTCCAAAAGAGAAAGAGAGTTGTTTTTAGAGAGAATTTGAATGCAATAACATGGAAAAAAGACAGAGATTTTTCATAGAGTTTTTATCTTCTTCTTTTTAACTCCATTGTTGAGTATGACTTTATTTAGTGAATTTTTATCTCTTAGTATGAGTAGCTAAACCCGTCATCTAGGGTTGATGGAACCAATTGTTGGAAGAAGTCTTGACTCTGTTTTGATATAATTGAGCCATTTTTATTTTATGATTGTTCAACTACTTGTTGTCTTGTGATTAAATTGAAAGGGCCCTTAATTAATCGTATGTAGTTATCTTGTGTTGCTTGAGACAGAACACTTGGTTAGATTGTTGTTGAACAACACCACTTTCGGGTAAGTTAATAGATTAATTACTTGAATTTAAAAGCAGGGTTAGAGATAACGAAGCTTTGGTGGGATAATTCTGAGTTGCATAAATTGTTAGCTAGAGTAGTTCGAAAGAATGCTTCTAGTAAATTATCGTAATTGATCGAAAGATAATTGCGGTAACCCAGAACTCATATTTCTTATAGAGTGTTACGGCGAGATTATAGCTAACGTGTCAGGAATTAATCTGACAATTGGGGAAATCAATAACGCTAGACCATTTTACCATTGAATTCAACTCTATTCTTGATTATTACTAGTTTTATTGTTATTTTTCCTTAGTTGACTAAATTGTACTCATTATCCATCAAAAATCTTGCATCCGGAAATTGTATGAGCTTATCATTAGCAGTGGTAAAAGTTGTAGTAAATAGGTTAGTTCCCTGTGGGTTTTGACTCCGGACTGAACCGGATTATATATTTGCAGTGACTGCTGAGTCCTTTTTATAAGGCCTAGTTGGGCGTGATCAAAGTTTTGGCGCCGTTGCCGGGGAACTAACGGTGTTATTTATTGCAACTTGGAAGAATTGCTAGGATTTCTAGTTTAGATCAATTTTCTTTGGTGCTAAAAATATTTCCATTGAAATTCTCATGTTTGAACTCTTCTGTGACTCAGGTGCATGCCTAGAAGCTCTTTGAGAACTGGTGAGCTCTTTGAAGGACTCTTAGATCCCGAAAAGGCATTTCGGACATTGAACCGGGCTAACAAGAACAGCAAACAACTAAAACAAAACGAACAAATTGAAATTGAAATGGATGATGTAAACAACGTCAACGGGAACAACAAGAATGATCGAGATGACCTAAACGTTAAAGTGGTAGCAGCTTTTGTGCCGGAAGCTGCTCTTTATGATTGGGCGCAACCAACTGCTGATAACCTGGCCACAGCAATTGCGGTTCCTCCCATACAAGCGGAGACATTCCAGATTACCAACAACATGCTGCACTTGTTCCGGAATAAAGGGCTGTTCTCTGGGTCATACATCAAAGACCAACAACAACATCTGAAGAACTTTCTATCAATATGTGTCACTCAAAGACAACCGAATGTGACTCTTGAGGCAATCAAATTATTAGTGTTCCCATTCTCATTGACCGGGGAGGCTCAAACTTGGCTGAATTCGCTCCCAATAAGCTCCATTGCTACTTGGGAGGAACTAGTCAAGCAGTTCTTAAACAAGTTTTATCCACCCAACAAAACTGCGAGGCAAATTGATGAGATATTGCAATTCAGGCAGAAATCGACTGAGACTTTGCAAGAGACCTGGGAGAGGTTGAAGGGTATGTTGGTGAAGTGTCCTCACCATGGCATTCTGGGTCAGATGCTAGGACAGAGATTCGATATGGGTTTGGCTGACAGTCTGAAGGCCAATGTAGATACTTCTGCCGGGGGTGCATTCTTGAGTAAAACCTTCACAGAGTGTAAGATTCTTCTTGACAAGATGTCTCAAAATTCAGGCTGGATGACGAGAGACACAACACTCACACCAATTGCATTCTGTCGCTTTTGACCCAACAACACAAATGCAGAAAACATAGCCTAGATGAGCTTGCTGACAAAAAAAAAATCGATGAGATGGGTACGAAACAGGTGCACATTGTTGATACCACAAATGGAGGCTTATGTACTCCTTGCATAAACCAGTCATATGTGTGTTCGTGGAGTGGAGAGAATGACCTTCAGGGTTTTAGAGAAGACATGAATTATGTCAATAATTATGGAGATCAGAGGCAAGGTGGGCAGCAATGGGGACCAACATCAAACCAGCAGTACAGACCAAACCAGCCACAGCACAACCCCAATATATGAGGAGCACGACCACAAGGCCAAGTCGTGCCTTATCAAAGGCAGCAGGGCTATAATCAGCAGCACCAGCAATAGTTGGCCTACCAACCACCTCATCAACAGCAGAATAGTAATATGATCGAAATCAGGGGTATGCTGCAACAACTCATTGGGACAAATGGAAAGATGCAAGAGAAGTTAGCTGCACATGATTCAGCAATTAAAGGCATTGAAACTCAATTGGGACAGCTACCTATGGCCTTGAATAATCGCCCACAAGGAACATTGCCTACAGACACAAACATTAATCCAAAGGAGAAAAACCCAAATCAGCTCATGGCAGTGAGTCTCAGGAATGGGAGAGATTTAGACAGGGAGCAAGAAGTTTCTCAATCTAGGAGAGAGACAACGTCGACTACTCCAGCTACCCCAGTTACATTAGAGACAGATGAGTCAGCAGAGCTCACCGAGGTTGTAATCGAGCAAGCACAGGTTGACAAGGGTAAAGAGAAAGAAGGTGAACAACTCCCAGAACAGGTAGTAGAAAAAGCTTTCAGCAAAGAAAAGACACAAAGCAGTGGGCAGAGGTTGATTCCTGCACCATTCCCTCAGAGGTTGGCAAAGCAAAAGAAAGATGATCAATACAGGAAATTCATGGAAATGCTCAGACAAATTCAATTGAATATTCCACTGATGGATGCTTTGAGGGAGATGCCAGGGTATGCAAAAATGATGAAGGACCTGATGTCGGGAAAATTTGACTTCCAGGACCTGTCCACTGTAACTTTGACGCAGACCTGCAACGCGATAGTGACAAGGCCCATGGCTCAAAAGGTGTCTGATCCAGGTAGTTTCACTATTCCTTGCACCATTAGGAGTTATGATTTTGCAAAAGTATTGTGTGACTTGGGGGCCAGTATAAACTTGATACCCTTGGCAATCTATACAAAACTGGGCATTGGCAGAGCTAGACCGACCTCAATGTTGCTGCAATTGGCTAATCGTACAGTCAAAAGACCGATAGGAATTCTTGATGATGTGCTTGTTCAAGTGGGGAAATTTGTATTCCCTGCAGACTTCGTCATTCTTGATTGTCAAGTGGATGAGGAGATACCAATCATTCTGGGCAGGCCGTTTTTAGCCACTGGGAGAGCATTGATTGATTGTGAGACTGGAGAATTGAAAATGAGGTTGAACAATAAAGAGATAATATTCAATGTTCAACAATCTATGAGGAGACCCAGCAAATTTGCAAATTGCTCACTAGTGGAGGCCGTAGATGTAATACTACAAGAGGAGGATGGGATTATTAATGTCAGGGATCCGTTGGAAGCCTGCTTGATGAATCTGGAAATGTAGATGGTGAGGAGTTGGCAGAGTGGGTCATGGCTCTTGAAGGTCAAGGGTTCTGGAAAAGGGAACCCGAGTTCGAGCCCCTACACTTAGAAGAAAGAACACCTGCAAAACCATCGATAGAGGAGCCACCACAGTTGGACCTGAAACCGCTTCCTGCACATCTCAGGTACGCTTTCTTAGGGCCTAATTCTACTTTACCTATTATTATATCATCCGGTTTGCTAGCTGTGCAGGTAGAGCAACTCTTACCGTTGTTACAAGAATTTAAGACTGCTATCGATTGGACCATGGCAGACATTAAGGGTATCAACCCAGCTTTTTGTATGCACAAGATTCTCTTGGAAGAAGAGCACAAACCATCCAGAGAACATCAACGAAGGCTGAACCCGAATATGAAAGAGGTGGTGAAGAAGAAAGTGATCAAATGGTTAGATGCGGGCATCATCTTCCCCATCTCTGACAGCAATTGGGTCAACCCTGTTCAGTGTGTGCCGAAGAAGGGAGGAATGATGGTCGTACAAAATGAGAATAACGAGTTGATCTCAACTCGTACTGTCACGGGATGGCGGATTTGCATGGATTATCAGAAATTGAACACAGCCACCCGGAAGGACCATTTTCCCTTGCCATTCATAACAAAATGCTGGACAGGTTGGCTGATCGATCTCACTTCTGTTTCTTGGATGGATAATCGGGGTACAATCAGATCTCAATAGCCCCCGAAGACAAAGAAAAAACATCATTCACCTGTCCGTGTGGCATCTTTGCCTTTCGGAGAATGCCTTTTGGACTTTGCAATGCAGCGGTGTATGTTAGCCATTTTCACGGACATAGTTGAAGACATTATGGAGGTATTTATGGATGATTTCTCCATGGTGGCGGATTCATTTGAGGACTGTCTTCACAATTTAAGAAGAGTGCTCAAAAGATGTGTGGAGACAAATTTAGTGGTGAATTGGGAGAAGTGCCATTTTATGGTACAAGAAGGGATAGGCTTGGGGCATTGAGTATCCAGCAAAGGAATAGAGGTTGACCATGCTAAGGTTGACGTGATTGAGAAGTTTCCACCACCCACTTCGGCCAAGGCAGTGAGAAGTTTCCTTGGGCACGCCGGGTTCTACAGGCGATTCATAAAAGATTTCTCTGAGATTGCTAATCCTTTATGCAATCTCCTTGAAAAGGATCAGCCCTATGTGTTTTCTAATGATTGCATGTTAGCATTTGAGGAGCTGAAGAAGAGATTGGTGACAGCACCCAACTGGGAGCAACCGTTCGAGCTCATGTGCGACGCAAGCAGTCTTGGGGCAACGAAAGGATAAGCTGATGCACCCAATTTATTATGCAAGCAGAACGCTAAGTGGTGCACATCTCAATTACACCGTGACAGAAAAGGAGATGTTGGCTGCAGTTTTTGCATTCGACAAATTCAGGTCGTACTTGATTGGTTCAAAAGTTATTGTTTATACTGACCATGCAACAATTAGGTGCTTGATAGCAAAGAAGGAGTCAAAGCCATGCTTGATCCGTCGGGTTCTTTTGCTACAAGAATTCGATCTAGAGATCCGTGACAGAAAAGGGACCGAAACCAGGTAGCAGACCACCTCTCAAGGTTGGAAGGAGCTGAAAAGAAGGTAGAGGTTGAAGATATAATTAAGACATTCCCGGATGAATAGTTACTAGCAGTGACGATGGAGGAGACACCATGGTATGCTGATATTGCTAATCATTTAGCAAGCGGTATTGTACCTTATGAACTCTCTTCAATTCAAAAGAAAAAGTTCTTTCGCTTTTGTCGGTTTTATTATTGGTATGAACCTCTACTTTTTAAAATATGTGTAGATAACATGATTCGGAGGTGTATCCCCGAGAAAGATCAACCTTCTGTTTTGAAGGCTTGCCATGCTTCACCATATTGTGGACACTTTGGAGGGATTAGGACATCGGCTAAGGTGTTGGAATCGGGTTTGTATTGGCCAACCCTGTTCAAGGATGCCCATGATTGGGTGAAAAGCTGTGATCAGTGCCGAAGGACAGGCAACATATCTCGACGTCACAAGATGTCGATGGCAACTATTCAAGAGGTGGAGGTATTTGACATGTGGGGGATTGACTTTATGGGGCCATTCGTTAGCTCGTATGGTAACTAATACTTACTGGTGGTAGTTGACTATGTTTTCAAATGGGTTGAAGCTGGGGCTCTCCCAACCAATGATGTAAAGGGTGTGACAGGCTTTCTAAAGAAGAACATCTTCACATGTTTTGGCACCCCGCAAGCTATAATCAGCGATGATGGAACCCATTTTTGCAATAGAGCGTTCACACGGTCATTGGAAAAGTATGGAGTTTGCCATATGGTGACCACCCCTTATCAACCATAGTCAAGCGGGCAAGTTGAAGTGTCAAACTGGGAAATCAAAAGTGTCCTAACCAAGACAGTGAATGCGACAAGACTGATTGGGTGAAGAAGTTGGATGATGCATTATGGGCGTACCGCACAACATTTAAAACTCTAATTGGTATGTCACCATACAAGTTGGTGTTTGGAAAAGCATGTCACCTCCCGGTAGAGCTCGATCAAAAGCCCTTTGGGCACTGCGGCAGTTGAATTTGGATACGGAGACCGCAGGCACCAGTAAAGTCACTGGATTACATGAACTTGAGGGAATTCAGGTTCCATGCATTTGAGAATGCAAGATTGTACAAAGAAAGGATGAAAATGATGCATGATAAGCATATTCTAGATCGAAACTTCAAACCCGGAGATCTAGTGTTGTTATACAACTCGAGACTAAGATTGTTTCCGGGTAAATTGAAGTCCCGATGGTTAGGACCCTTCAGAGTGGTGCAAGTGTTCTCAAGTGGAGCTGTAGAAATTGAATCCGAAGATGGAACAAATAAGTTCAAAGTGAATGGGCAAAGGTTGAAACATTACCTTGGAATGGTCGTAGAAAAAGGGGATAGAGTGGTGATATCTTTGGAAGATCCCCAATATATGAGTGAAGAGTAATAATGAAAGCCTGCGTCGTGCTGCGATGTTAAATCAGGCGCTTCCTGGGAGACAACCCATGGTTTGTTGTAAATTGTCGTGCCGCGACGTTAAATTAGGCGCTTTTTGGGAGGCAACCCATTATTTTTTTTATTCTTATTTTTGTAATTGATTTTTCAATGGTGACAATATTGATCGATCTACTAAGGTGCAGGAACGAAGGTATGCGTAGCGGAAAGACTCGGGGTGACGAAATTATCCAGGAGATAGGCAAAAGTGCAAAAACGAAAAAAAATTCGGGAGCCTATTCGCGGCCGCGGATCTGATCGCGGACCCGGTCGCGGACCTGGCGCCGTTCAGGTACCATGAGATCAAAGAAGAGACGCACTACCGGTGCCTCATCAAGTGGTCATGGAGGCTCGTCCCGGGCACGGGCACCAGCCAGTTTAGCTCAGTTTGATCGCACCAGGTTTGTCTCTAGAGCAGCCCAAGACCGTTTCGGTTGGAAGGCTATTAGAAAGCCTGTACTGAAAAGGGGAATCGACAGGGGATCCCTCCAGGCTGAATGCCCCAATATGTATAGGGAGTTGACTAGGCGCAGGCTAGACATCTTCTTCGAAGAGCCGGAAGACGGTAACTTGATGCTTGTTAGGGAATTCTACGCCAACTGCTCTGAACATGAGGATCACATCTGCACTGTGCGACAAAAGAGGGTGAATGCCTCGATAGAAGCCATCAGGAGAGTGTATCGCTTGCCTGCATTTACTGGGGATGTGGATTACTATGATACTTACAAGCGAGAACCCACAAATTGGCAATTGTTTTTCCAAACTATCTGTGCCCCAGACAAAGAGGTAGTGTGGGTTATACCGGGATCGAAGTTGCACTCATCCTCACTCACCTTTGAAGGAAAGTGTTGATTGTACGTCATCAATAGTCGACTACTACCATCCCACAACACCACTGAGGTAAATGGTCCGAGAGTTGCTTTGATATGGTGCTTCGTGAATGGCCAGGATTTTGATGTGGCCAAGGTTATTTATTCTGAGATGTTCATCCATTCAACACTGCGGAGGTATGGGTTCTTCTTCCTATCTCTGGTCACTAGATTGTGCCGGGCCGTAGGGGTGCCAGAGAACCCCACTGTGGATGGCAAGGTGAAGAAAGAAACAAAGTTCTGGGCATCCAAAGTGACCATTGGGAAAGACACGATGGCACCCGATTCACCTGATAGTGATGATTCTGAGGCGTCAGAGGAGAGCTATGAAGAGGGGGAGGAAGTTGGGCCTTCTTCAACCCCACAGGAACAAGCTGGGCCATCCTCTCCCCCACGGGAACACGTAGCCGATATTGAAGGTTCATCTGCAGTCAGACAGAGTACGCAGATGACGGCCTTAGAACAGGAAATGGCAAGGCTGTCACGGAATTGGGGACTAGAGTTGATGCCTTGGCCACCCAAAATGCAAAGTAGGAGAAGAAAATCATGGGCTGGCTGCGTGCGCTGGGGAGGGCGTGTCATCTCGACCCCGACACTGTCTCCCAATCAAGACTGATTTTCTAGGGAAGTTCCTTTACCTCGCATTATTTTATTTTGTATGACATGGGACATGCCATCATTTTAAGTGTGGGGTGGGGGATACTTTGTTGGGTTGTTGTATGTAGAATTTCGTAGTTTATTTACATAAATCATTTTCGACTTGTCCCGACGATGGATATCATTCGACGGGTTTTTTGAGGGACTAAAGTCGAAGAAGAAAAAAAACACAAAAAGATTTTCTTTTGTAGGAGTGTATCAATTCCCTCTTGGTTTTTCTTGAAGTCATGGTTCTTTTCCAAGGGTTTCATTTGAACCGGGTGTAGTTAGTTTTTTTTTTTAATTAGTAGGAACTTGTGGGCTATGGGCGGAAATAGAAATAGGATCTCTTAACGTCATAATGCCTTGAATATAACGGGTACTTTAGTGTGACGCTTAGGCTCAGTTGTCGACTCTTGTAAGAATGCCTTAAATTGCATGTTC